CCCCTACAGAGATTCCCCAGATGTTCTGTTCAGAGATACCCTGCACCAATACATAGTATTGTGTAATGGCTACCCAAGCCCAACCATATTTTAAGTGTGTCATTAATAATAGATGTGGTGATTTTACATCTGGACTTTTTAGTGAGAGGACTGTAATTCTTCCCTTTTCATGGATGTTCTATCTCCCTGAAGACTGAACAAAGATCCCATGACAGAGTCTAAGCTAATATTCCATTGTTGGCAGGGCTTGAGAAATGCATTAGAAGACTTTTCAAAGCGTTATATCCATTAAACTTTGCACCCTCAGGGGAAAAACTAAAAGCAAATCTGGAATAAAGTAAAGAGCATAAATTTAACAAGAATAGGATTGCTGAACACATTTAGAGGGCTACAGCCCAAGGAGAATTTTTTGTCATTTTAACTATAGATTAGGTGGCCATAATAAGACAAATGAAAAATCAGTTTTATTGTTCTGCCCCACTGCTCAAGCTATTAAATAATCTTAACAAGACCACTGCCTAAGTGCTGCTGTGACATAATTAAACAGCAGGCTGTCTAGCTCTAGAGAAATCAATAGAGACATTAACATCCTTTTTTTTTCTTTTTTTACGTTGCTTTTGTTCTTACTTTGCCTATACAATTGTGCTTTGAGTGACTCAGAATATTCTCTTGCAAAATTGTATATATTTGAGTGTTACCACTGTTGCTGCAATCAAAAACCTGTTCCAGCTTAACTGCATTGGAGAAGGAAGGGGAGACAGATGGATGGACGGACAGACATTCCCTTCCCCCATGCAGTTAAACTGGAATACAGACATGCACATGCACACACACATACCCATACATCTCCCCTAAAATGTGCTACCCTGCTAGGAGTTCCTTCCAACATTACAGCTTCAGATAAAGTGTCTTGGGCATAAACAACACTGCAAAAAGGTCCAGTTATGGCTCCTGATTTTGGCTTCATAGGAACTAAAGCACATTAAAAGACATGGCTATAAACTTTAACCAACATCAAAATTCTATTTGTGACCACAGGAAAGAAGGAAAACCCATGTATGCATTCTTCATTCCTTCTAAGAAATGTAATAAATAAGGCCATTAAAAAAGAGAGAGAGAGAAGCACAATAAGTGATTATAAAGTGAAATGTATGAAAATACCATTTAACATTGTGACAGTCAACTAACATATATAGCAAAGTGAGTGTGTGATATACAGACTTGTCTCAAGAACAGCTCTAAAACTGTTGCACTGAATTTTTTTTTTTTTCTCATATAAAAATGACTCTCTGTTTTCATCAGATTCTGGATAATTCATTACTAAATGCAAAGCTAAGCCCAAATCTCTCTCAGGTATATACTGGAATACCAACAGGGATGCTACACTTAGACCATAAAATGCTACACAAAACCATGATCTCAAAAATCAGCAAGATGGAAAGATGCCAAGATCTCAAGGAGATAATGCATGTTTTGGAAACTAGTATTTTATGTATACAATGATCTACCTCAGCCAGGTAGGAGATGCAGTCTAAGCCAGCAAAATGCTCCAACTCACCTTTCCACTGTTGTAACCCTAAGAAATTTTTAGAAGTGTTCTTCAACAAATATGCAGCAAGAATGATTTACACAAGATTAAGGGGCCGGCAAGAGTATAAATCAGCCAAGAAGTTGTGCAATGATGCAGTACTGTATCTGAAACTGCCTTTTGGCTTTATTTACTACTATCATAGACTGTAGAGGTGAATATTACTTCTAATTTTTTTAAAGTCTTCAATCCATCATGATTCACCAGCTTCTTGATGTGTTGCCCTTCCTGTGCACAAATGAATGAATTCATGTTTGCTTTAAAAAGAGCCATTTTTATTGGTTGACAGAAAATAATCAGGCAAGTGAAGTTTTATCCTCTTATATTTAAAGGGAAATGCTCCTTCAAGAAGATTATAGAAGACAACAAAACAGAGGTCTACACAAAGCCTCATTTTCCAAAGAGGATGAGAAGTTTCTATCTACAACCATGGACCAGCTTGTGCTCCACTGTATCTTCTCCATCTCTCCTTCCAGTCACTTTGACCAACCCCAAAGTGTAGAAATATCAAAGATTAACTGAATAAATTAAGAGGCTTTTAATAAAACAGCACAGTTCTAAATTTCAAGCCAATATTTTGCTTAGGTTGTTTAATACCCCTCTCTAATGATCCTGCAGTACAGAATTGATCACTCTGCCCTGAACAATGTTAATTACAAAATGTTGTGCTTAACAGAAGTCTCCCAGTTTCTACATCTTAAGCAAACTAAATGTATATTGACAGGGCAGAGTAAAGTTCAGCTACAAGAGCCTATGAGATCAAGGAAGGGCACCTACTAGAAAGAACAACCTGACCCATCAAAACAATACCTGTAAATCTGGGAATTCCCCTATCATGTTAGCTATTTTGCACATATAGTTAACAAGAAAAAAGAGCACATGCAAGGAAGTAGAAATTCCAGGTTCAAGATATTTATATCCCTGTTCAAGGCAGTTTGAATAGCAACATAAAACACAAAGTGAGAAACATTCAAACATTTGAATTTTTAAAATTAGCAATGCATATTGAATTAATAAAAATGATTCTTTCTTTCTTACATTTTTGTGGATCCCTGGAAATTGATCTATTCCTAACTGCTTACCCTCTTGCAGCAACAGCAAAGGCTCTCATTCTAGAAGGGCAGCTTATCCTAATTTAGTTTTCCAAACAGGGTGCTGTTTGTGCTGTTCTGTAAATTTAAATACATTTAAAAGGAGCCAATTGAATTTCTTTGCCATGTGTCAGTCAACAAACTTTTAACAAATCATTTCTTCACTACTAACCACATTTCCATATTTTCAGCACGCACATAGGGTCTTCTCCAATCTCTTTCTTCTGTAATACGTGTCCAAAATATCTAAGATTTAGCTTCAGTATTACTGAATACTGAATTTCCAGTAAACAATCTGATTTTACTTTGTCTAGTATTGAACTGTTTGCTTTCCTTGCATTCAAGGTATTCCAAAAATTTTTCTCCAGCACCACAATTCAAAAATGTAAGTTTTTCTCCATCCAGCCATTCCAATGATCCAGCTTTCACAGCCCTATGTTACAACTGGGAAAAACCTGACTTTGACAATATTCACTTTTGTTGTCAATCCAAACTTTAATAATTTGTCTAAATTTGTCATAGTCTTTCTCTGAAGTAAGGGACATTTCTTTATCTCATAACTACAGTTTGCATCCCTATGAATCTTTCAGCCTAGGAAGATAACCTGTACTACTTCATCTTTTCTGCCTGTTTGCATTGTGTTGACATTGCTTGTTGACATAACCTTAGTTATTTTTAAATACTGAGCAGCAGATCTGCATTTTCACTTTCACCTTCAACTTTCAATTCATCTCAGGTCTTATTATTATTATTTCCACACTGCAATCCTCACAAGCAAAACTGCACCCATGTGGCAAGTCATCTTCATTCCTTCCTTCAGGTCTATTAGTGTTTATTATGAGGTTAGACTTTTGTACACAGGGTAGTGTCTCCCTGCCCTCTTCTTCCAACCATGAGGATCAGGAAAGAGAAGCATGAAGTCCCCAGTCTACACACTAAGAACTAAACAATACAGCTGGACAGGGATGACTCAATACAGGAATTCCACTTAGGGGAAAAAGTGCCATATGAAAGTCTATAATACAAGCTTCTAAAGCAGAAGATATCAACAGCTGTGTTGTCAGTAAGCCCTGTAGCATTATATGTTCTCCATTATGTACTGTATGTCAGAGATTCCCAAACTTTTTGTGACAGTCGGCATATTTGGAATGTTCAGAATATGCCATGGGTACTCTTTCAAAAAGGCTGGCATAGAAGGCATAGCCACCCCTAAAATGGATAAGGTCCTTCTAACCCTCTGGATACTCTCTACTGTCTGAGCTCACCTTTTATCTTTTTTCTGGAAAGTTGGGCATACTTTTCCAGAAGCACTGGGATGCAATCACCCAATTACTTTTAGTTGTAAAAATGCCTCTGGTTCTATGTGACACCTAGGAACATTTTCAGAATTAAAGAACAATACTGGAGACAGGCGCCATGCTTTGCAACAGGCCTGTTTCCCTTTTATTTATTTAACTAAAAGAAATGAATACACACACACACACACACACACACACACACATATATATAAAAAGAACCCTGGTATAGCTTGGCAGGCACTGAGAGAGGTGTTGCTGGGGATTTAGTGCTCAGGGGCATGACATTATAAGCTCAGAATATATGCCTATCCTTTGGGGAATATGTGTATTTTTAATCTTTTAATGGAAAGTGCAATTGCTCATCAATTATCACGGATTTTTAGAAATGGTTATGCCTCCATACCAAAGAGCCCTACAGCTCTGCACATAAATTAGCTGCACAGCCAACTTGCTTAAACCTCATAAAATGGCAACACATTTACAGCTGTTGTCTTGTCTGACATGGTTGTTAATGTACATCATGATTAGCAATGCAACCCTCATGGCTTTTCTTACATTGTATTTATTATGAATCTCTTATTCAGAGTGATAATTAACATTTGAAGAGCAGAAGTTAAAGACATTAAGTGTCATTATCTATAGTGAATGAAAGATTCTGCATTAGACTTAAAAAACAAGAACCTATTTGTCGCACCTTAAAAACAACAGCAAGCCATTAAGACTGTATATATTCAGCACGTACACTGTACAGTAAATGCAACATAAAGACTCATGGATGGAAGAAAATGAAGGTATTACTTAGAAACATACATTGAAACTCTCCAGATTAATAGGAAAAGCAAAAATGAGCATAATGATGTTTGAGAATAATAACTTAACCAACATAAATCCTCCAAGTAGAAAATATATCAGCCCTGGAGACTGCGGTTAAGTAAACCCTCCTGAAAAGTCAGTTGTAGAGAAACAAAGCAGGTAGAAATGTGGCTTCTGTAGCACTGTAGATGCTCCTTGTGACATCCTTACCTGTCATGATCCTCTGAGCTTCATATGGTTCCATATAGCCAGTGTTTTCTCCTTTGCCCGTTTTGTTGACTTCACTCTTGGCGTCAAAAGGATCAGAGTAGTCATCCGCTATTAAAACCTGAAACAGAGAGAAAAGCTCTCTTAGCTTTGGATACTATTTTTAAACAAGTCTTTCAGGTTATTTAAAACACTTCAAAGCAACACAGGTTCAAACTCACAAGGTTCATTTCCAGGATGCAGTTCTCCATTCCCTTTAAATAGCCTCCTAGAAGGCCATTATAACCCCATTATCATGTACTCTAGTGGCAGATAGAAGATCAATTTCTTTCTAAATGTCTTTGTAGATTCATCAGTTGAGAAAAAGGACTTTACCAATGATGCTTCTAAGCTCCAAAATATGTGCCAACAGACATTAGGCAAGTGATATTTGAACACTTCCACAGAGCTACAAAACGTTTTGCTCCAGTTAATTTTTGGTTAAACACAACGCTCCTTAAAAAATTGACTAGCTGTACAGATGTGTTCATGAAAGGCTAACTATGGTTAAATAAAATCAATGTTATTATCAAGACATTCCACAACTTTATTTTTATTGTCTTTAAAATAATAAGACCCAGTTGGAAGAGACCATTTAGGCCATCACATTCAATGTCCTGCTCACTTAGGGTTACCAGATATCTGCACCAGCAAAGGAGGACATAGACTATTGGAAATGAGGAGAAATGGGTGTGTGTGTGAGGACACACTGTTTAACTTACAGACAATAATTACAGCAAAAACGGCAAAAAAAAAAAAGGTATTTAGGCTACATGTATATGAAATTCCTTTTTCCAGCATCAGAACAACTTTTTTCAATCCCAATATATTTCTAACAAATATTTATTTTCTAGAACACACGTATGGAACTTCTCACAGGTAACTTTCTTCATGTTGTATTTGATAAGAATGATTCTTTTGACAGAATCAGCTACAGTAATCATAGATTTGAAAAGGCTGGATTGAAGCTGATCGCTGGAATCAGGAAATAAATTAAATAATGTAAATCCAGGCTGCTGAGCCTGTTGACAGATGAGGGAAAGAAAGAAGTAGATACTTTACAAGGTCACAATACACGAAAGTTGTGACTACTGTTGTGAAAACAGTCCAAAATAAAAAAAAAGATACTCAAAAAGCCGGACAATATTTGATTTTAAGGCTATGCCTGCCAGACAGAGGAGATGAAGACAAAAAAGAGGACATGTCCTCCTTTTGCCGGATGTCTGGTAACTGCAAGAATCCAATTAAAGCATCTCCAACAGATGATTGTCCAGCCTCTGCTTGAATACATAAAATGAAAAAGAGGCTACCAGTAACCTGGTAACTGATTCCATTGTTCTTACTGTTAGGTTTTTTTTCCTAACCACCAACCAGAATCTGCCTTTCTGTAACTCGAAATAATTATCCCTCTGGGTTAAAAAAAAAAGATCTTGATCTTCTTCTGTGTGACATCCCTGTAGATATTTGAAGATTGCTATTATCCCCCTCTTTGGTGTTCTCGTCTCAAAGATCAGTATTCTCAGTTCCTTTAATCCCTCTTCTTAGGCCTTACTTTCAAGACCCCAATCATCACCATTGCCCTTCTCTGAATCTGAAACAATTTGTCTGAATCTTACTTAAAGCATAGAACTGGATGTAGTACTTGACCAACAAAGAATAAACATAATTACTTCCTTTGATTTAGAAATTATACTTCTGTTGATGCAGTCTAAAATGGCATTTGCCTTTTTTGCAGCTATATAATACTATTTATTTATATTCAATTTGCTATCAACCATTATTCCAGGATCTTTTTTCACAGACATTATTGTATTCCATCTATTTCCTCATCTTACACATCAATACAAAAGTTGAAGAGTGTAAGACAGAACTTTGGGGCTTCCCTCTCAATACCTCCCTTCAGTTTGCTAAATACAATAACCACTGAGTGTCCTCTGAACACAATTTTCAAGTCAGCTATATATCCACTTAATTATCATGCCATCCAAACCACACTTAACAGGCTTCCTAATAAGAACATCAAGAGATACTTAATGCATTACAGAATTTATATGAATCAGTTTAGAAGTGTTTGAAATATTCTATGTGTTTGTGTGAGCATTTTGTCTAAAGCAATTTACTAATTACTATATAGGATCTGTTTACTTTTCTAATACATGTGTATCCATTTTAGCAGCAAAACGATATATTCAGAAACAAACTTTACTGAGTCTAATGATTACTGCTTCTTAAATCTACTTAGATGGCCTCTAAAATATAATTTAACTGTAAATTAAAAGTTCTAATCAAGCTTAGTATGTCATTTAAGTAAAAGATTTAAGCCCCAACATTTTTCATGTTATTGTCCATTGGGTATACCTATTATTTCTATGAACTGTCAATAAAGTTGTTTACAAATTAATCTAGGATAGTGATTTTTAACAATGCTCTATAGCAAAGACCAGTAGGTGAGCAATCAATTGAGAGATATGATTTGCAATTTATTGCCAATGGTTTCTAACTCCAAATTATTTTATAATAGCAACAAAAAGACATTCCCTCTTCATTTTTTGTTAAAGACCTTGATCTCAGATATAAATTTGTATTTGTAAATTTAGGTCATTCCATTATTTGACTGATGGGGTGCAGAATGCAATAGATTTCACTTGCCTGTGCTACCACTTTACATCTGGCCTTCCCAGGCCCTAGCCATTACTTCATATCAGACTTGAGTTAACAGGGGGGACGTCTGCCTACATTTATTCTAGAGAAGTTCTTCTGAAGATCAGTAATGGTAAAGACACTCTGCAACTGCCTGCTTTATACCCATCACACAGCAAGGCAAGTACAGTATCAAACAGGTCTGATCTTCCACATGCTGTCCTATAACTTATCCAGAATCCCCTATACAGTACAATGGTGTTGAAGAAGATAAATTAGGTTTTCCTAACAGATAGAGAGAGGACTCCCAAGAAAGAGAATTCTAGGAAACACTTAGAAATCTTAGGAAATCTAGCTCCGAAAGCAAATCTCTTTCTTTCAGTAACATGGCCAAATGTTATGTATGAAGGGAGAGTGCAGATTAACAGGAAACAAGACATGAGTACAGCTGAGCTAGAGAGGCCTTTGTGTGATTAAGCAAAGCAGCTCTTAACACCCTAATGTTCTTCAAAGCCCTTGCCAACTCCTCCCTACTCTTACAGGATGACAATTCCAGAGTAATTATTGTTTCATCTTCAGGGTGGGTTTTTTTGGGAGGGGGGGTATTTTGGACCACTCAAGTGTAAGCCAACTCTGTCCCTCATTTGACACGTAATTTAAGCTGTATTCAAGGGGTTCATTAAATGCAAATTGCTAAAGATGACAAGTGCAAAATGAGGGGGTGCCCCCTTCCTTCTCTTTTTTCTTTCTTTCTCTTCCCCCCTCCCTCCCCATAAGCATTTGTAATGACTGGCTTATTATTGCCACTTTAACAGTTCACTCAAAGAAAGACCGTCTGCTCCGTATCTTCTGTCTATGTGGGTCCAAACTGTAATCAGCAGTGCTGTCAGAGCTGTGTCAAAGGCCGGGTGCTTAGCTCAAAGACAACAGTGTGCATCAGGCAAGAGTAATTTCTCCCGGTAACAAGAGCAGGTTTTATCTGCAGAAGCCCTGCAGCTGAAAACACCATCCATTTACTTCCCTGATTGGCTGCTGATAGATAAGTATCTTGGGTGCTCTCCCGTCCCCCTGCAGCACAGAGGCTGTCACCGTAATAGCTGCCTTTCTTTAAAAAAGACTACACTAAAATGACATGAGATGGGGTGAGCGGGAAGCCTAAGATGAGTAATGCATTTTTAAAATTTGATCATTCAGCCTTCACATGTGCCAAAAATGAAAAAAAAAAAGGAGTAAATTAAACTTATAAAAACCTGTCAAACAGGCTAATGTTAAATGCTGGTTTTGTTTAAGGGTTCCTGTAATGCATTCTCAAGCCTGCACCACACCACAGCTTTGTCCAATCTGGTGCCCTCCATAGGTACTGGAATTATGAAGGCCCAGAATTCCTAGCCAGGATAGGAATCGCAACTGGGTTGCAAGTGTTGAAATGCTGGAAGAGAAGGCAAGAGTAGACATCCACTGGAGTCACAGTGTATTTCAAGACACTGATGAAGAAAAGAAGATGCCTGTTGGGGTTGTATTTCCCCTTCTCTCCACCCACTCCTGTGAAGTAAGTCCTTGCCACTTGCTCTTTTGCTCCCCACTTTAACAACACAATGACACATATTGGTGATTTTACTGTCAATTCAGCATTTCTTCTGCACACGCCTCAGACTTGTCTGCCTTTTTAAGTTTAGGTAACATTTGCAAAATAAAACACCTTTGAATGGGGCAGGGGACTGAGACTTCACAAAATGTGATTTTGAAGCAGCAGCCGCCGCCATCTGCCCAATCTCATTCCTGCAGGGGGAACTGTTCATTTTTCACTGTTTGACCACAGCAGCTAAATTCCACAAACAGAGCCTTAGTTAGGTCATTATAAAACAACGAAATTCAATTGCGAATTGAGTAAATCCATTACTGCTAGATGACAATGTTTTTGTAAATATAAATTGTGATGCGAGGTTCCAGAAACTAAACAATTCTTCCGGGTGTTTATTGGAGAAAACCAAAGAGAAAGAGAGAGAAAGAAAAGTGACAGTAGTTACCCACTGAGTTTAACAAATACCTGTATTTAGATATTATAACACTAATGAGTAGTTGCTCCTCAACTGTATGCACCTTTGTGAGAGAGAACACACACGTGGTTTATACACAAATATATCCTGAGCCACTTCTAACAATGGGGTCTGGAACAAAAGCCTTCACCTTTGCTACCAGATAATACGATTAAGCAAATGAAAAAGTCAGGCTGCTGCTTACAAGAGAGTATTCTTAACTTCATAGAATATTTGATCATTATTGAGTTGAGTCAAATAAAAGGCTGTCAAGAAACTGGTGGATCCAAACCAAAGCACAAAACTCAGAGATCCTCAGTGAGAAATATCACTCACTGCAACTGGACTCATGAATAAACAAATTCAGTAAACCAAGACTGATGTTTTAACTACCATGGTCTGTTTT